CTGGTGAGTCAGGGACTCCGTTGCAGAGGGTGGTGGTGGCGGGAGGCGTGGGGGGGAGGAAGATTTTTCATGGGAAGTGGCCGCGGCCGCTCAAATTTAAGGTGCAGTCGGTGCGCCGCTTATAATATTTGAGAATTTAAACTTGATAACGTTTGGCTAAGTCTGGTTTAACTCCCTAAATGGGGAAATTTTTGAGGTGTTATACCCTTTTAAGGGATCGGCTAGAGTTTCCCTAAGATCCTCAAAATATTAAGCTATAACGATGAGAAATTTATTTGAAGCATTAGATTCAAGATGAACGGCTAGGATCGAAATCACCCTCTCCATTAGGTTTGGCCTGGTGCTATAGATACATGAGTCTAGAAAGTAAGTGGTCGTGCTTGGTATGTTGATTACTCTATCTATTTTTGACAAGGATGCTACTTGTTACTTCAAGCATTGCAAGTGGAGCAAGAAAAGCACCTTGGATGACAGGAAGTACAAACTGCGTCCATTCCCCATCATAACTGAAAGGAAATAAGGAAGAAGAAATTACGGCTGCCTTTTGTTCATCCTGTGTTCATACACGGTGCCGGCCAGCTGCATGTTCAGCTCTCTGCCCTTGCCTTTTTGATCTAGTCTTCTCACACATTTAACACAAAGGTTGGGCAGTCTAGCCTAGCCAGGACAGTGCGAGACTGCAGGCCGCCAACGTACGCGTACATGCCTGCAGTGATTGGGTTGGTCAAAGGGATTGCTTCTGATTGAGAGTAGGATATACGGTGGTGACAACCGGAGAAAGTTCAGTTATCTTTTCAGTGTGCCTTTCCAACCAGTCTCATTCTTTGCCTTGCTCTGAAATATTCTCCCTATCTCGTTGCCGTTTCAATCTCTGCCCAATATACAAAGAAGCATGCAGCCACAGAGAAGCGACCGCCTCGCGTCTACCTGCGACGCGTAAATCATGATTTGGGACTATATTCCACTTTAGTGAAAATCCTGCCGTCCGTCGGGAAAAAAAATCCAACAAGCAACTGCTTATGTGCAAGCATATGTCATGACCTAGATGATCAGGACTTGGTTTCTTGCTTTTCTATGATTAAGTAATAGTTAGAGTTGCAATCGCTCAGGCTGAAGTCTAGGACAGTTGTAAGGCACATACTGGATGTGATTCTCATCCTGCTTTACAAAATAGACCTAGATGGCTTATTTTCTTGGGCTGATCATGACTTTAAGCAAGGTGTTTTAAGCTATCTAACTAACCAATCACACCTGTTGGAATTTATTAGTCCCTTCAAGTCATCAATATTGATATTGTGCAGTCAATTATACAACAGGACAAGCTACCACTTAGCTTGCAGCATCATAAAGTAAGCTAATCTTATGTTATGTGATCTGCTTGTGTGCTTGAAGAGGCAAAGGCTATATATCCACTTCAGTACCAAACTGGCTAGTGCCTTGCAACCCATCTAGTCTAGCCCAAAACACATACAATGAAAAAACAACTCATTTAGGGCGCAGAGTGAACGAAAATGCTATCCTTGACACATGCAGACGAATGAACACTAAAATCTGAATTTGTTTAGGGTCAAAAATGGCCTTTTTAGAGCACCAATTTGTTTCTTTTTTTCTGTCCAGAACACCACGGATGTCATTTCTTCATGAAAATTCATACGTGGGTAGAACAATCGACCCAGGAGCCAAACATTCGCATCAGCAGTGTGAAATTTTTTACAAGGAGAAGAATTAACAAACAATTAAAGGAAAAATAGAGAAGGGAATAAATACTTGCCAAGATACCATGCAGTATCATGTCAACCTAGAGCTTAGCTAATTAGGATTAAAGTTTGGGAAAGGCAGCCTTTTCCTTCACGCAGGAGGTAAACTCATTCGCCTGTTCCTGCACATAGTTGAAAACATTGGTCAAATGCTTTTAAAGGGGGTGCTCTTTCAGCCTATGCATAAAAAGATACCTTGCAGTTGAGTCAGATTACTTAAAATTATGCTTAAGATACTGTAGTCTTCTTTGCCTACCTTATCTGAGATGTTTCTACCCAGAATATGCAAACAACAATCTTCTGATGGCCAACTGGAGAATATTGTTCCAAACCATGTCTGTCATATGAATATCTTTGAACATATCAAGGAAACAAAGAATTTAACTGTTTTAGGGATGTCACCTGATTTTTCATTTCATAAACAAATAGTAACTGCGCCCCGCCAAAAAAAAACACAAATAGTAACTGCGAATAACAGGAAAATTTACGAACTGAAATTTACACGATGTATGAATATCTTCAAATTCTGTTTGAACATTAAAAAAAACAGTTTGCAAAAGGGGACAGGGTTGGGCCGAGGTTGACCTGGGCAAGCAACATGTCACCATCAGCACTTCAGCCGGAGACTAGGCCATATTTGTCTGGAGAACCTATAATTTGACCATCGTTGACAACACTTGATTTGTTTTCCATTGATAATATGTTTTCCGTTGATTTGCCGTCGCCGGTATTGCTTCAACAACACATAATCCCATGCCCAGATTTTCAGTTGGCATGTTTTGGATGCCTTGAAGGTTGGACTAGTGAGAACATCTGGATTGAGATCTTCTGCTGTTAATGAATTAGGAGGCGGTCGTTTCATCAAGTCCAATCAAACCTAGTGATATGTGATGTCACTTTTTCCTTGAACAAAAAGCAATCCTTGAGATCCTTGCAGAGAATAAGCAGGCAAGCAAGCTACCCGTCAGCAGTTAGGTAAAGACCAATCATAGGAAGAGCAAGAAACCTTCAGCATTTCTCTGATGACCAAAGCCTTTAAATGTGAAAACTGACAGTGCGAAGCAACAGCTCGACAATTCTACATCACACCTAGCAGTGTGAACATTGAAACTGTTAACCCTCCAATAGCGAAAGCTAAATCCTGAAATATGTACCCCCTTCCTTCAAAGCATGACGAATCACATTTGCACCACACCATGACAAATACCTTTATACCACGATCCTTGAGCAGAACTATGATCCGAAAGGTTCAGAAAGAAAGAGAGTGACAACCGTTTTTACTCTGTCGAGCGTACTACGTTCTCGATACCATGCGCCATGTCTTTTTTCACGACACCAGATCTGATCCAGATCAGCCGTCCACAAGGAGTACAATACGAGAGTATAACAGTACAGTAGCAATGTGAACATGAGAATTGAAGTGAAAGTTAAATAAAGCTACGGATGTGTACCATTTTTTCTGTCCAAAAAAGCGCGATGCACCACATTTGCACCACACCTACACAAGTCCTTTTTAGGTTGCTTTCTTGCAGTGTCAATGCCTTTGGAGTGGGGGTGCATGCCTCTGACTAATCTGTCTGGTGACCTTGTCCACGAAGCAACTCTGACCCAATCTATAATCTATCTACATGGGTCACACGATACCCTAATGGCTGGTACTAGTAAATTATTGATGGATTGAGAGCTGAAAGGAGCCAAGACCGCATCAAGGATCCAGGCAAGATCGCTAGTATGACAAATCAGGCCGATGCCTTTGTCACAAGGGAAGGGAAACCCCTCCTTCCTCCCTCTGTCACCCACTCACCCGCCAATAGGCGCGCGGTTAGGTGGCCGACATTCGGGTCGCCAAGGGTTTATATGTAGTATAATCTGGCCACAGCCGGACTAAGCAAAACAGATTGGACAGACGGTGATGGGTTGTCCTACCTAGGTCAGCTGTTGTGAGGCTCCTCCTCAAGGAAGAGGAGGCCTTGTCTTTCTTTAATGGGTCTGGAGGAGAGGAGAGGAAAAATAAGTGCATCTGCTTTGTGTTTCTGCTCACCAAGCGTACACGAATTGGGTCACCTTTCTTTCGGAAAAGGATGTCAAAGTGAGTCACCTGCAGGATGGCATTTTGCCTGTCCAGGTATGTATAGATGGACAAGGGCCACATGAAAGACGGATTTCTTGAATTGGAAGAGTTGGTGGCGCGTCAGTCATTCGGTTCAGATCGGTAAGCAATGCACCATCACCATGTGCAAATAATTCTTGTTATTTTGCAGACAGAAGGAGGTCCCATGCATGTCTAGTTGTTACTTAGGGCTTAAGAGAAGAGAGCTATTGCGATCCAAAAGGATGCCATGCAACTACTACTGGCATGAGCAAGCAATGTCCTGCACACGTCATCAGAGCATGTTCAGATAGTTTCTTTCACGTAGGCTAAGTCTCGATCTCAACCCCACCCGTTGCGGAGTTCCTGGATTTATTAGTTGCATATATGCAGTAATGTGCGGGAGGCTGTTTACGTCCAATATCTAATGGGTGTGAATGGTGTCATTGTTGATCTAGTGGAGGAGATCTCCAGTGCTGTTGCAGATCTCAGTAAACCAGACCTCGGCCAGAGCACGTTCAGTAACAGTGTTGACATAGGCAGAAAACATGAGTCCTCAAGCAGCAACTGGGGTTCCCTGATGGCCTCTACACAAGAAACATGGATGCCACACCATTCCAGGTTTTTCTTTAATCTAATCAATAAAGTTAACTCGCTATAAATCCACCCTTTGTCTGAAAAAAAAAACTCGCTATATTCAAGCAGATTACGATCCATTAAGCTTTCAAAACGTTCTGGCCATGCATTGCTGTTCTTATCGTTAACAAAGTTGTTATGCACATAGTTGCAACAAGATTGGTCAATCATTACATACTCCCTCCGTCCGAAAATACTTGTCATCAAAATGGATAAAAAGAGATGTATCTAAAACTAATATATGTCTAGATACATCCCCTTTTATTCATTTTGATGACAAGTATTTCCGGACGGAGGGAGTACATAATAATTTCCCGGGTGATTTGACTATCTTTACTGTATGGAATCATCTATATTTTAAACATCTAAAGTAGTGATCTAAACGATCTTATATTTCTTTACAGAGGGAGTACCTTCTAGACTAGTGTTAAATACAACTGTCAGAAATGTCAACAGAGCATGAAATCCTCAACTTGCTTCAAAACCGGTACAATCTTGGCTACTACTAGTATCTATCTTCAGTGTGGTTGCTGAATCAGTTCAGGTATAAGCCGGAGCAGGAACCCCAGCTGCTGCTGTGAGAAGGACTCGTGTCTTCTGCCTATGTCAACACTGTTACTGAACCTGCTCTGGCCGAGGTCTGCTTTACTGAAATCTGCAACAGCATTGGAGATCTCTTCCACTAGATCAACAATGACACCATTCACACCCATTAGATACTGGACGTAAACAGCCTCACGCACATTACTGCATATGCAACCAATAAATCCAGGAAATCTGTAAGATTACTGCGAACACACACCTGAGGAACATGAACGCTTGATAACAGTACACTGCTTACTTGAGCTGCCCATAGGTGAGAATGGCAAGGTTAGATTCTTGTGCTTTTAGGATCGCAGAGGGATTTTTTAGAACTCCTCTGACTTCTGACACAACCCCATGCAAGTCATACTCGTGGCACACTTGGATAGCTTCGTCGAGTGAGTTCCTTCTCGTATCTTCGTGTTTGGCTGTTCCCCCTTCTGTTAAGAACAGTACCTAATGAAAGATAAAAAATTGAATACGATAGTGCTGAAGTATGTATGTACTCAAATGGATGGCGACATTTTATTCAAATCAGAAATTACAAACGCAAATCGTGTAATTCCACATCACAGACAAGTTAAAATAGCGAATAAGATACAGGTTTGGACTGAAGTTGTCTGTATCTTCATACCTATTATCATCAGTCCGGTCACTGAATTGCATATACATTAAACACAATAGACTATGCATTATAACATTTTTAAATAATTTTCTTGTTGCGGGATTATGATGTTACAAATACTAATCATGCTGATTTAAGAGTCTGCTTATGCCTTCACAGAACTTCTCAGTTGCACTTTTTTCAGTTTACGCAAGTAAATGATAAATCTTGAAGGCATTCCTACTTACTGTAACTAGGGAGCACAAAACATCCTCAATACTCGTATGCAACTGAACCACGCGTTATTGTTCCCCATTGCAATGTGGTAAGTCATACAAGTAATCGGTGAAATAATATTAGCTAGCTAGAGTATTTACTGTTTAGAAACATTCTTTTTTTTAAGGGGGCAAAGGTGAGGAAACTTTTCAAAAAATAAATTAGACATAGAAAGAATACAAATATTTCAAGGCATGCTTACAGGGTATACACTTTGGAGTTCACGTGTTATCCGTGCGGCATCAGGTTGGAATGTTGAGAAAAATAGTGGTCTGTTGCCAGCATACTGAAAAACAACCTACCAAACCATTTAACAATGTTATGGTCATCGCCTCACAGTGACCAAATGATTGCATGGGATAACCAATACCATATTAAATGAACAAGAGCAATCCATACTTGCAGTACAGCTTGAAGAGCACGGTTAAGGTTGACACACGGATAGATAATGTTGTCATCAAACTTAAGTTCGATGTTAAATCCCAGATGGGGACTGACATGTTCGAAGACTTCCTGCAATGTGCAGAGATAATCATCTTCTTCTGTGCTCCAAGCAAGGACTCTCCCATCTTCCATCCGTCTAAGAAAGGGCTTGGAGACCTGAACAGAAATTATGAAATGGATATAATGGCGTTTTAAGCACATGCTAATGAACCCTGCACAGCAAAATCCAACAGATAGAAGGGACGAAGTACCTTGTGAGGTTCTTTTTGTACCCCGTATGAAAGGAAATCTTCCAGAAGAAGATCGGTCACACGTCTTTCATACAAAACCTCCTGCACACCTTGCCATAATAGAAGATTAACTCGAGAGTTTTTCTTGCAATGGATGAATAGTTAGTACATACGCAAAAGATGACAACTATAAGAACGGATGAAAAGAACATACAGTTTTTCGGGTGAGGATAAAGTCATCGTGGAAGATAACTGGGCAGCCATCTTTTGTAACCTGCAAGCCAAAATGGTAGGATCATAACTTCAGGAGATCTGTGTGGGCAGTGGCGGAGCTTGGGCTGATTTTATGGAGGGGCAAATGGGCTGGAGGGGCAAGAAATATGAGTTTAGGCTGATTTTAACTGGGCATATGGGCTGAATACTAGGGGATATATGCTAGTTTTCTCATGGGCTGGGGGGGGGCAATGGCCCAGGTTGCTCTCCACTAAGCTCCGCCACTGTGTGTGGGTACTGTGGTCATCTTAAAAGGAAGGGATAATGGATGAAGTCAGGGGGTTGCAGAATGCTCCAAGAGAACCGCCAGTTTTCATCAACCTAGCTTACATGTATGCTCCCTATGGTTGGCATTGCCGATTCCGCTGATGCTTTGGTCTGCGAATGACTCCTTGCAGTGGATTAATGACAACTGATAAGACCAAGTACAACTGCAACTCAGAATCCAGGAGCTTGCGATGCAACACTTTGAGCACTAAAGAACATCAACCCCAATCACCCTCACAACGTGGCTGCTGTACCTAGTCTGGTCATTTGCATCTAAGCAGTAGCTTCTTGTTTCATGTAATTAGCTTGCAGGCTACAATACAACTGCATTGCATATTACATTGGGACACAGATGGATCAATGTCACTCCACGCATGTGCTGCTAGTGCTTGGTTACTTCAGAGAGAGAAACTAGCATGCGTATGGCACATTGCAATTCATGTCCATACGATTACCACATCCAAGTTCCACAAAAAGGATTTGTCCTCGAGGATCCCAAAAAATTAGTTGTACTGTTGTACCAACTAGAGCAGAGCACACATTGCTCAATCAACCACACCGGGTACCAGTTTCGCTCCTGAAGCTGCGGCGCCAATTCGAAATCCAAGCTTAAACAAGCTAGCAGCGTATCAATTGCGAAGTAATGATGGGAAATGGAAGCGGAGGCTAGCTACATGTGTGTGTGTACCTGGACGTCGAACTCGACGAAGGCAACGGCGGTGTTAGACTATGTATAACTTCTGTACCTATGTACGTATTGTAACACAACCAATATATATAATGAGATAAGCCACCCCTAGAGGGTTGTGCTGGTTCCCAAAACTTATTGTCTTACATGGTATCACGCTAGGTTACGATCGCTTCCGCTTTTAAACCCTAATACCCGCACCGCCGCAGCCGCCGCCGCCGCCGCGCCACCGATCGCGCCGCCGCCATGTCGAGCGCCGCCACCACCGGTTCCACTGCTGCGGGCTTCCTCCCGGCCTCTATTGCGGCTCTGCTCAACCTCCCGCTCGATGCCGTCTCCGTTCCGGCTCCGATCGGGACAAGGAGCATCGGCTCCGTCTTCTCCACGCCGCCGGCGCCCTCGCTCGGGCGTGACCTCGTGGTCCACACCGCGGCGCCGCCGTCCGCTGCGGATTCCGCAGGCGTCGTCCCGCCGCTCCTGCCGCGAGCGGATCACACCGCCCCGCTGGCGGGGTTGGCGGCGTCCGCCCCGGCCGCGGGCCTTGCGGCGTCCGCACCGGCCGCGAGCTTTGCGGCGCCCGCCCTGGCTGCGGTCCCGCCTCCTCCCGCATCGGCTTCGGTGCCTCCGGCTGCCTCCATGGTGTTTGCACCCCAGGCAGCCTCCTCGATGGGATCGTCTTCGCCGTCGCCGTTTCACTTCGGTCATCTCATCACCATCAAGCTCTCCGCCGACAACTACATCTTCTGGCGTGCGCAGGTTCTCCCGCTCTTGGGGAGTCACTACCTGCTAGGCTACGTCGACGGATCGCTTCCCTGCCCACCCGCGCTGGTAGACAGCGTGCACGGTCCGGTCTACAATCCGGCCCATCGCGTCTGGACGGGGCAGGACCAGGCGAACCTCTCCTCCATCCAGTGGTCGCTCTCGCCGGCAGTTGCCGGCCTTGTTGTCTTCGCGAAGACGTCTCATGAGGCCTGGACCATCCTTGAGCGCACCTTTGCAGCGCAGTCCCAGGCTCGTGTCTCTGCACTCCGTCGTCAGCTTGGAGAGTGTCAGAAGCTTGACTCCACGGCCACTGAGTTCTACAACAAGGTCAAGGGCCTTGCCGACACATTGGCCTCCATTGGACAGCCCCTCACCGACTCCGAGTTCAACTCGTTTATTGTCAATGGTCTTGATGAGGAGTATGATGCCTTAGTCGAGATCATCAATGAGCGGGGTAACTCGACACCCATGTTGGCACACGAGGTTTTCTCTCGGCTTCTTCTCACTGAGCAACGGGTCGAGACTCGCCGCACCAGGGGCACTGGCTCTCTCTCGGCCAACGTCGCCACCAAGGGTGGCCGCTCTTCTTCATCACCCCGGTCTCCCTTGGGGCTGCCACCGTCGCCCGCCTCGGCCCCCCCACCTACTGCGACCTTACCGGGGGCTGGCGGTCCACGTGTGTGTCAGCTTTGTGGCCGCGATGGGCACTGGGCCTCCAAGTGTCATAAGCGCTTCCAGCGAAGCTTCCTTGGTCTTGGCAATGACGGCAAAGATACACGCAACAATGCCCGTCAGGTCGCCATGGCTGATCGTCCCGCGCCGCAGAAGCACCAGGGATACACTCAGTCCTACTCCATCGATCCACACTGGTACATGGACTCTGGGGCGACAGAGCATCTGACCAGCGAGATGGGGAAGCTTCACACTCGTGAACCCTATCATGGCTCCGACAAGATCCACACCGCCAATGGAGCAGGTATGCACATCTCTCATATTGGTCAAGCATCTCTTCTAACTAGACATGCCAATAGGAGTCTTCAGCTTCGCAATGTTCTTCGCGTTCCATCTGTGACCCGCAATCTTCTTTCAGTTCCTAAACTCACACGTGATAATAATGTACTTTGTGAATTTCACCCTTTTGATCTTTTTATTAAGGATCGGGGCACGAGGGACATTCTTCTTAGTGGGCGGTTGTGCCAGGGCCTCTACCGTCTGGAGCATCCTAGCGTCGCTCGCGTTTTCAGTGGAGTTCGGGTCTCTCCGTCACAGTGGCATGCTCGTCTTGGTCACCCGGCCACACCTATTGTCCGTCATATTTTGCGTCGTCATGAGCTTCCTAGTTTGTCTAGTAATAAAGATGTAGCAGTGTGTGATGCTTGTCAGCAGGGGAAGAGTCATCAACTTCCTTTTTCGGAGTCCAGTCGTGAGGTGAAACATCCGTTAGAACTTGTGTTTTCAGATGTATGGGGTCCTGCTCAGACTTCTGTCAGTGGTCATAATTACTATATCAGTTTCGTTGATGCTTATAGTCGCTTTACCTGGCTTTACCTTATTAAACGCAAATCTGATGTGTTTGATATTTTTGTTCAGTTTCAAAAACATGTTGAACGTCTTCTCAAGCACAAAATTGTTCATGTCCAGTCGGACTGGGGGGGGCGAGTATCGCAACCTCAACTCCTTCTTTCAGTCGCTTGGGATAGCTCATCGTTTAGCATGTCCACATACACATCAGCAGAATGGTTCAGTCGAACGTAAGCATCGTCATATTGTTGAAGCTGGTCTTACTCTTTTGGCCCATGCATCTGTTCCGTTTCGGTTTTGGAGTGATGCTTTCACCACTGCATGCTTTCTCATCAACCGTACTCCTACTCGTGTTTTAAACATGAAGACTCCCATTGAGGTTCTCCTTAATGAACAACCTGATTATACCTTTCTCAAGGTATTTGGGTGTGCTTGCTGGCCGCATCTTCGTCCATATAACAAGCGCAAGCTTGAGTTTCGTTCTAAGAAGTGTGTTTTCCTTGGCTATAGCTCTCTTCATAAAGGTTACAAATGTCTTCATGTTCCCACTAATCGTGTCTATATATCTCGGGACGTCGTGTTTGATGAGCATGTTTTCCCTTTGCCAACCTTCCTGTGTCCACTGTCGAACCACCATCCCTGCATTCATCCTCTGTTGCTTCTGACCAATTTGATGATGTTGCATACTCTCCTTTGCTGTTACCTAACCATGGTGCAGGAACCGGACGTGGAGCTCGTTTGGAGCTGTTGGAGGATTCACCATCATCATCGTCGTCTTCTGGTGGGCACGTCGATCGCCCTATGTTGCATGGCATCGATTCGCGTGCCCATGCATGGTCACCCGACGAGCCCGTCGCGCCGAGCATCTCCACTGCTCGGTCTGCTACGCCAGTGATCGCCGAGTCTCCAGCGGCTCGGCCTTTTTCACCAGCGGCCGCCGAGTCGCCCGTGGCTCGGCCCGTCACGCCGTCTTCGCCCGCGGCTCGGGTCCTCACGTCACCTTCATCAGCGGATCGGCCCGCGACACCGGCCGCGCCACGGCCCACTATGCCGAGCTCGCCATCGGCCCGGTCTGGGATGCCCGAGTCGCCAGCTGCTTCGTCTGCTCTGCCGGTTTCGCCGGTGGGCCGGCCTTCTTCGCCGACTGAGTCCGAGGCTACCGTGCCTGGCTCCTCGTCACCGGCTGACTCATCAACGTCGCCGTCCTCCAACCCGTTGCAGGCTGCTCCGTCGACCTCGGTGGTTCCTGTGTCTCGACCACATACACGCAGTCGCAGTGGCATTTTCAAACCTAAGGAACGTACGGATGGTACGGTTGCTTGGTTGGCTGCTTGTTTGGCTGCTGCTGTTGCGGATCCATCTTCTGAGCCTCGCTCATATCAGGCTGCCCTGCGCATTCCACATTGGCGAGAGGCTATGGAGCAGGAGTTTCATGCTCTTCTTCGTAACAAGACATGGACTCTCGTTCCTCCACCACCACGGGTAAATGTTATTGACTCAAAATGGGTATTCAAAGTGAAGAAGCATTTGGATGGATCTATTGAGCGTTACAAAGCGCGACTTGTTGCTCGCGGTTTTCGGCAGCGTCATGGTCTTGACTATGAGGACACCTTCAGTCCTGTCGTCAAGCCTACCACTATTCGGCTTCTTCTCTCCATTGCTGTTTCTCGTGGTTGGTCACTTCGTCAACTTGATGTGCAGAATGCCTTTCTACATGGATTTTTGGAGGAAGAGGTTTATATGAAACAGCCGCCTGGTTTCTCTGATCCTGATCGTCCTGACTATATCTGTCGTCTTTCCAAAGCACTATATGGTTTGAAGCAAGCTCCTCGTGCCTGGCATGCCCGCCTTGCCTCTGCCCTTCGTGCTCATGGGTTTGTGCCGTCCACTGCTGACACTTCATTATTTCTTCTACAGAAGCCAGAAGTCACTATGTATCTTTTGGTATATGTCGATGATATTATCCTTGTCAGCTCTTCTCAGTATGCTGCTGATGCTCTTGTCTGCTCTCTTGGTGCTGATTTTGCGGTCAAAGATCTTGGGAAGCTTCACTACTTTCTTGGAGTTGAGGTCACTTCTCGTGCTACTGGTCTTGTCCTTACGCAGAAGAAGTACT